GAGGATGAGCTTCACTGGTTGACACTCGGAGGAAGTTCAAGTTTTGAGTCTACAAAAAGGTTAATCATAATAACGCAGTTCGTAATTGTTGTGTGGCCATTTTTTACTTACCTGGTTCAGTTTTAATTAGTGAATACTGATTAGTGTTATTATCAAGGATAATTATCAATGTTACTATTACGTTTGGAGGAAAAGAAAGAGAGAAAAGAGAGAGAAAATTGAAAACGGAAATAAACAAAATCTTTTTCCATCATGATCCTCCTCATCTTCGTCATCTTTGTCATCCTATCATCTCCCCCTTGGCACATCTAATTGAGTCTCGTGTTTTCATCATCATGCAACAATAATCACACCTCAGGTAAGAAAAAGTTTCCATTCATTTTTTTCTCCTTCTCCTCTTCATTTGAATACATTTACTGTCACTTTTTTTTCATGGTCAAGGTCAAAACATATGATCGATATTCCTGTGAGTTTATCTCAAGAATTGAACACTTCCGAACTTTTCAATTCTCTTATCTTACTGTTAACAGCAGAACTGGAAACTATAATTAGCAGAAAACTTAATTAACTGTAATGATGTAGTTGGAAAAGTCAAATATAATTATATTTTCACTTGAATTGACCTTGACATTGATACGATTTATGAACGGAAATGAGATTAAGTTGATCAAGTTTAAGATTATCGGTTAATCGTTTAGCTGATTTTCTAGGATAAGTTGATTGTTTTTCTTTTGCCGAAATTTAATTTCTTAAAAAATGATGTTGATTAAATTGATTTTATTCATTTGCAATTGATTGTGTTTTTCGGATGCAAATTGGATTTTAAATTGTCTGATGATGAGATGATGTGTTAACGTGCTGTGATTTAGCATCTTGATTGTAATTGATGAGTGTTGATTGAACTTCTATTTATCATGTTAATTGATCAGGTCAAAGGAATCAATTGATTTTAGTGAAAAGAAATAATAAATTAACAGGAAATATTCAAATTAGTTGAATCATTTATAAGACAATAGGATTGAAACAAAAGTAAAGTAGTTAAGTGTTGATAGATTGCTATTGATTTTTTATCGAATTGAGAGTAAATTGATTTTTCCAAATTGATTTAATAATCTGCGAAAATGAAATCAAACCTAATCAACATCTTCTGCCCTTGAACTGACCTGATCAACACAATGAATAGATTGAATTGATTTCGGCAAAGTTTCAATTGATCGAGTAAATTTGATGGAAAAGTGATGAAACTCAATTTTTCGGTTACAATTAAGGAAGTAAAATCAATTACAAGATGATGAGGATGGAGGATGATGATGATTGCAACTGAAAGGCCGATAACAATTTAAGACAATTTAAAAACTATTATCTCACTTTTCTGGTTCATCTTCAAGTGATCTGATTATTTTTGGTAACATTGATGTTTGTAACAAATTGAGGTTGACAATTAACACATAGAAATAATCATTTAACAACAATTAACCTTGTCAATTGTTTAATAACAATTTACATGAACGTTCAACTCAAAACAATCAAACTAAAATTGTTAACCAAAGGAACACCAAATAGTAAAACTTAATTACAATGAGAGCTTTTGATTATTATATTACTAATCTACTAATCTGATAGTTAATTGTTCACCATTTACCTTGATAATAACTTTCACATTTTCTTATATTTAAATTAACTGATCAACTGATTTCTGGTTCTATTTTTAACCAACCTAATTGATCCTCGATACCTCCCAATGTGAATCAAAGGCCGAAATGATGATGATAATATTTGGGTGTTTCTACCTTTCTATTTATCATCCTCATCTCCATCATCTTCCTCGTCATCATCATCATCACTTTTATAGGTAAGAAAGGTAAATACAAATGATAATAAAAAGTAAAGGTGAGAAGCGAAAATCCCTCCCACTCCTCCCATTGTGTTTTCGTCAATAATAAGAAAGTACATTTGACAACTGTCACACTATAGAACCGCCTTAGAACTTTTCTCATTGGTTCGATAACTTTTCATCTTTCGAACAATTTATTCCCATAATATTATAATCTCTCGATTGTATCAGTTGATTAATCTTCAATCGCATCTCAATTACTTGATGATTGTCTTCATTTCCAATTCATTATCCTTGATTGTGATTGGAAAAGGATTGGAAACTGAATGACTGATTGATTGATTGTGAAAACTGATATTACCTTTCTGTTGGTAATTAATTAATTTGCATTATCTCATCATGAAATTTAATCAGCTACCGAAATCAAGTTAATCAATCTGTCTACAATTAATTAAATTGTTAAGATAACCAGAAAGATAAAATTAGATAACCATTTTGATGGTTAATCTTTGATTATTTTGCTTTTCCTTAGAGGATGAAAATGTTTAATCAAATATAAGATAACCTTTAATGAGACAGAATTAATCTTAACATTTCAATTTAATCCAAAGTAAATTAACTTAAACTAATTACAATTTTACAAATTGTATAATCAGACACATGATAAGTTAAGAAAGCAAATAATTATCAGATTAATGATGATTAGTTAATCCTGGAATCAAAGATTGAGCAATTATGATTAAGTTGCGAGTTGAAATGAAAAGAGAAACGTCAAAAATTATAAATATAAACAGTTGAGTGATAAATTTAATTTCATTAAAATTGATTAACTAATTAACTAAAATTCATGAGATTCAAGTGATTAACATTTACAAAGGTTGACAATTTACTAAATTGTTGCAATTTTCAATTGGTTGCTAATTGTAAGTAAACATTTAAGATTAATGAAGACACAGCAAATCTCATCATGTATCCAATGTTTACATTAGATTAATGATAAATCTAGTTAATTAACTAACCATTGGCCAGCTTGTTGTCCACTGTGTAACTAATTACATATCCAAAGGCCACCATCAAACTAAACAATTAACTTGATTAGATGACAAAAAGGTACTAAGATATTCCGGTTAGAAAAGTTAATTAACAATTAACCAAAACAAACAATCAGCTGAAATTTTTCCTCAATCTTTTCCTTTCCCATTGAACAATTGAGTTAATACAAATACGATTAACCTCATCTTGGTAACTCAATCATCCCCACTAACCTTTGACTGACCATCATACTGACCTTTAACTATCCTGATCCTCATCATAATCGTGATTATTATTATGACAAAGCCACAAATTAGGTTTCTCGTTTGTTTGTTTGTTGTTGATAAATAAATGCTTCCGAAAATGAAACAAAAATAATTATCATCAAGTTGATTGATGGTTTTCCGTTTTCCGTTAATTTTTACCTTTACCTTGTCCATTATTTACCTTAACTATTGTTAAACATTATCATTATTAACTTTACCTTTGTGAATGAGTCTATGATGGCACATAGACTGACCAGACTCAACAGAGTGTCCGAGAAAAGTTTTACTATCATTTACTTGTATCTTTAAACTATTAACTGTTGAACAGAAAGTTTCACAAACAATTGACAAACTGATGACAACTTAATTACGAGTCTCCATAGGTAAACAATCAATGAATCATTTCTCAGTCTCTTTGTTCACAACGGTGTTTCTTGCTTCTCAATTATAAGATGATCATCATCAGCATCATCATCATCAGAATGATTGACATTAACTACAATCGCAGTTTCTTTAATCATCATCTCTAATCATTTGCAATTTGGCTTCAGTAAAGACATCAAATTGTATCGCTGATAGATAATGATAATTATGTTTAACTGATTTTCGTGCAAACTAATACATAGAAATTGGGAAAAAGTTTTCAAACTTTTCATGATTATCTTTTTAATTTGTGTGTTAATTGCAATATAAGATAATCTTTAATCCTCCAAATCATTTAATTACTATATTGTTTACAATCTATTGGGTTGATTGGTTTTTACTTTTCAACTTTTTATCTCTTTAAACATTTCAACTCATACAAATTGAATTGATTTACTATTTTAATTGTTGTTAATCTGATCACAACTGTGAACTGGTAATTGAATAATCATCAGTGTAATACACTTGATTAGTTAATAATATAACATAATTTACTTACTTGAATTGATAATTTGCAAATTGTTAACATAATTGCGTCAAGATGATTTGAAAGTCTAATGAATATGAATTAACCATTATCATTAAATATCACAAATGATTAAAAAAAGTTAAGCTAATCATATGAATTATATATACGATATGATGATTATCTAGTTAATTTCAGGCCACTTTTGGAGCGGATTTTTTTTCTTTCTAAGGCCACCCGTGTTAACTATGATACCACAATTATAATCATCATCATTATGACCTGAATAGATGAGTAATACGCCCAGGAAGAATACAATTTATCGCCATTTTCTTTGAAAAATTTTCGCTTCTTTTTCCTATTTAGTTTCAATATCTTCTTGTGCAGCAAACAAACAAAAAGATATTTCATCCAATGGAAATGCATTTATATCGCAATGCAACTTGAATGTTACCTGTCAACATGATTACCTGGTTAGTAAGTTTTATCATCAAGCTGATAAGGTAAAGAAAAGGTAAAGGTGGAAAATGATAATAATGATCAAGGTGGAAAAAAGTTTCTCTCTCTCTCTGGTTTGTTGTATTTTGTTACCTTGTTGATTGTGTCAATGGTGGAAAATTATTTTGTTGTTGTTGTTTGATAATGATGATTGTTGTTAATGGTTGAGAGAGAATCTGAGATATAACAATATAATGATTATCGTAATGGTGAAAATAATAGTTGATGGAGAAAAAAAAAAAAAGAAATTTTTTTTTCTCTATTTTTTCGTATCAAATTTAGACAAAAGAGTAAATTGTTTTTCATAGAGATTTTGGTGAGAAGAGAATAGAAAATAGATAATAGATTAAATGAGAAAATTATTGTCTATTAATCTTGTTTATCACAGTTCCGAATCAGCCCCATGGAACAATTATCATGAAAAGTTCGAGAGAGAAAAGAAAAAACTTTTTCTCTTTCACAATAAACCGAAATTCTCAGTAAACCAGCGACATCTATTTTCTTTAGAACGAGTTAATTTATTGTTCGTTTACTTCGCCATCTGTTGGATTCCAAGACAACTAATTCGAATTCTTTTCTTCATTTTTACTGTTATATTTTTGTTCGGTGATGAGTTTCATCTTCACCTCTTTTCCCTGATCATCTTTATCTTTTTTTCATTATTCTCAATGTTCACAATTTAATTTCCATCTCTTTCTCCCAGTCTTTCTTTCTCTTCCTCTCTTTCTCTCTTGTGCTTCTCTGATTTATTTTTTATTCTTTTCTCGCATTTTTCTCTCTCCCAATGTGTTTATATGGATACACTTACCAGCGATCTGTTTATTTGGGTTCCATTAAACCCTTCGCCATCTTCATCTTTATTAACCTCATCATCTTCTTCCATCATTATTATCCAAATGATCTTCAAAAAAAAGCTCAAGGCTTATCTCTTTTAATCTGTTAATTTCTTAATCACTTTCATCTTCATCCAATTCTATCAATTGTTTTTTTCCTCTTCTTCTCTTTTACAATTGTTTTCACTTCTCCTTTTTCTTACCAATTCATAACCTCATCATTTCCAGTGCCTATTATTTAGTTTGTATATTTTTTGGGTTAATTGTGTGTTTGTGGTAATTACTTATTGCCATGGATTTAAGTGAATCTTCATCTTCTGGTCCTTATGCCAGTGGAACCTTATCACCTGATCCTCAGACTATTGAATATCCTTCTAGGATTTTACTTCATCCCTCATCACCGATCTCATCATTACCATCACACCCTCTCATGTCACCTTGTTTATCGAGTGACTGTTCAAATTGTACTTCGAGTGCCGATGATTCCGGTGAATCGGCTTGTTTTGTACGCTACAATATATCATTACGTTCATTTACCCTTGGAATTCATAGTTTTTGTGCTACAATGACTGTTGTTTTAGCGATAGTTATTTTCCGTCTTCGAAGATCAAAGGTAAAAGGGGAACCATTTTAATCTTATCCAATTGATGTTCCAAAAGAGAGTTGAAATGTTTCAAAATCTCAGAGAATAATAATTTTTTCTTCCCTTAATTCAATTATAATCATTCTCGTAATTAAATCAATTAAAATTTAGATAAAGAGATTCCATCTAAAGACAAGCATTTCCCTGGATGATTCTAGCATTGAACAACCTTTCGGATTAGGAAGAGATTAACAAAAATCTCTCTTTCTCTGAGATTGCCTAATAGAAACTATTCCTTAATATATTCAACTCACATTGAATTCAGTGGAACCATGAAAACCCATGATCACAGTTAATTTAGAAATTGTTTACTATTTTCTTTTTCTCTCTTTCTCCTCTCATTAACCATCAACACTCATCACCATCACTCTGGTTCATCTTCATGTTTCCAATCAGACAATTGCCTCTTCAAGATGGATTCTATTGGAAACAACTCTTCTTGGGGCCTTCTTACTTTATATTACAGTAAGTGACCATTTAACTAATTATCTTTCAGTATTCTCATTGATTAATCTTGTTTCAATCAGTGGATAATAATATCTGATAATAATAATAATAATAACAATCTACTCTCTGTTTATTTTCATAACATTTATCTGGTTATAATCTTCACACTAACTAACTGTATAAACAGAAATGATTTAATGACAGAAAATAACAGTTACCAATGAGAGATACACAATTGATTTAGGATAATGATAATTACAATGTTGATTGTTGAGTCCACATTCATATTATTATCATGTTGAAACACTTTGTATCTATTATCAGTAGTTATTATTAAACATTACATTTCTACCGTTATGGTTTATTGATTACTATTAATCAATTGATTCTGATTATGAGAGAGCAGTTTATATGTTTGAAGAGGTGTCAGGGGAAGATGATGGTTCCTTGTTTGTTGAGAAAACACTTTTCCATGATACTAATTGCATATTATATGCATGAGAATATGAAATTTAAGTAATAGTTTGTTGAAATTTTCATTTTCTTTTCTCATCATATTTGGATAAATCAACTCAAACTATTATCATGTTAACAATTTTTCAATTTTTTCTCTATTCTATTTTTATCCATCCTCTTCTCACCTTTATCAAATATTTGAAATCTGAGCAACCATGAGGTTCTCATGCAAAAAAGACTCAAAAAATTCATTGCAAGGTTATCATTAACTAATCATTAGCTCAACATTTAATGTATTAATTTATTCAATAGCTTTCACTTTTTTTATAATATTTTTTTTTCTCATACCTCTTACCTTTTTCATGATTTACCATGAGTATCATGTCTATGAGTTATTCAGGTAAAGGTAAATTCTGATAAACTTTTTTTCTCATTCAAATGATTGGTGGGAGGTAATGTTTTCCTTTCATCTGAATAAATTGCTCCATTTTTTTTGTTACCTGTACATTTAACTGATATTATCTGGTGAATTTACTCGACATTATTGATTTGTTTTTATTATTTACTTTCTTTCTCTCTCTCTCTCTCTCTCTCTCTCTCTCTTTCTCCCCCCATTCTCAGGTTATCATTCGTTACTATGAACCAACTCAAATAACATGTTTCATTGAACCCTGGTTTCGTGAGGTGGGTTTCGGTCTGTGCTATGGGAGTATAACTATTAAACTTTACCGGATTTACGCTGAATTTCAGACTCGAAAAGCTCATAGAGTTTGTGTGCGCGATAAAGATTTGTTAAAATATCTTATCGGTATTGTGATGATAGTGATTGGCTACATGGCTGCTTGGTCGTCACTTGTGATTGACTCAATGAATGGACTTCCCTCCATGTCAATTGGACCTCGGGTGGGGTCACTTATTTTACAAGAAGGACAAACTCCTGATGGATTAAGATATTTTATTTGTAAAGAGCTCAGTTGGGATTATGTTACAGAAGCAGGTAAGTCTCAGTTAAAGACAAAAATCGAAGAGGAAATTTTCATCATCCTGATTGTTCATGATTATCTGTTCATGATATAAACAAGTAGAGGAAACAATCTTGTTGTAATAACAATAGCAATTCTACTATTAACTTCATATATTATTATATATTCATTGCAATTAATTCAAATTCCCAAAAGGCTGAACCCAATTCTGGTTGATTGTTGTTTCCAATTGCTTTTACAATTTATTACATTTCATCTGAACCGAATTTCGTTTTTACTTTAAAAAAGAGGTTGAATCTTTTTCAACCCTTTCACCCTATTTCCACCTTTCAATCACCAGAAAGAGAGAGAGAGAGAGAGAGAGAGAGATACTTCCATGTTACCTGAACAAGTATTCATCAAGTTCTAACTATTATTATATCTTTACATTTGATCTCAGTAGATTATAATCTTAACCATGTTGAGAAAATGCTTCTTATGTTTTTTTTCTTGTTCTATTGTATCAGAATTGAACATGAACAACAATCATGTATTCTAGATGAAAACTTGCCTTTCTCTCTCTCTCTCTTTTCCACTCCCACTCCCTCTTCCAAATCTTCTGGGCTTCCACACCAGCTAAAAAAAGATACTGTTAATATTTCATTGAATCAAATCGTACCAGAAATAATTATATATATTTATCTATTCCTATTCTGTATCATTGAGATAAATGTTGAAGAAGAGGAGAAAAAAAAGTTTATATGGATGATAAAAGATGAAGATGAAATGGCAAGAAAATGGAAGGAGTCAAACTTTACTTACAATAGTAAATATTTAGGTCAGCTTACAATTCTGTGTGTGTGTGTGTCTCATGTCTTATATTTTCAGGGGATAATACTCAGCATGCTCCAACAATAGTCTTTGTATTCAACAGCAGAATCGCCAATATATCTAAAAGAGACTCAAAGTCAATTTATTTCGAGAAGTAAGAAAAACCTTGTTTATCCTTCATTGCAGAATCATCAGAACATCATCTTCATACAAACAGAATTATTATTCAGAAATATTATCTCTTTTCTCTCCTGAATCATGATTGTTATTCAAAAGGGAATGATAACTGTTAATGAGGAATAATATTTCATCAGAAGAAGAGAAGAAGAGAAAAAAGCTAATCTTTTACTTGTAGAAAATCATATAAATAGATTATGATTACATGTCAGAATTTTCCATCTCTTTCTGAACTACTGAACTTTCAGAACTTGTTCCATCAATTAGAAAATGGTTTCCATAGAACTTTTTTAATGTGACTCATTTCTTTCACCAATTAAAATGAACTCGCAACTAACTGCCGATCAATATTGTAATTAGAAGGGATTTCCTCATGAAATGAGAAACAATTGAACCGGAAGATGTTGTGAATATTTACCAAAGGATATTTGGTGACAACCAGTAAATCGGAAGCTGAGTTTTTTTTTCCTTCTCTTTCACCTCTTTTGTTGAATCTTTTTCTGCCAATCTCAAGTTAATTTTGCACTTTAATACATTTTAACTTATCCCATGTAATATTTGACTGATTATGCTGATTATGATGAATATAATTACATTTGAATAATATCAACTCAGAATAAGTATGTTAATGTGAGAGGAAGAGAAAGAACTTTATTTTTTTTCTTCTTCTTTCATTCTCATGGATGAAAATGCGTTTCGAAAGAAGAAAAAATAAATAATATTCACAGAGAAAAAGAGGCGAGATATAAAAATCTAGAAGAAAGAATATTTTCTCTGTCATTTTCTGGATAGAATCATTTCAATATTTTCTTTTCCACGCTTCTGTGAACCTCTAGAATTCATCATGTGAAGATAAGGATGAAGAATACTGAGTATCTTATTCTCACTTGATAATCTTGAGATATGAATGTTACCAGAAAGAAGGAGAGAAAAAAAAAGTGAAAGTAGAAGGAAAAAACAAGATGAAGGGAAAAGAATAAAAAAATTCTGGTTCTTTTTTTCATCTCTCAGTTTTCATGGAGACTTGGAAAAATTTAATTTCAACCTTGAGGGTATCAGAGGATCTTTGGTTTACTCAGATTCTGTTTATTCATTTCGAAATGTTGACATTTACTTGTTTCTTTTTCGATTCATTTTTTTACCTGAAACTTTTTCTCTTATCAAAAGCTGAGATTCAATTGATTCCAATCATCGATTTTGTAAATTACACCCTGAACATAAACTCTTTGCATGTAACCGATGATATTATTAATCGAATGTATCAAAATCAATTGTGTGTCATGATTAATATAATGTTTATTTATATTAATATCCATTGGATGAAATCATTAAGTTAAACTCATTGTCCCCATGATACTGGTCACTGATGATGCTAAATATGTTATCCTAAATGTATTGGTCACTACTCAGAAATAGTCACAACTTATTTATCTAATATTGTTTATTGTCATAGTAACATTCAAGAATCATTAATGTTATCGCAATTGATGATGAAGATGAAGATGATAACATGAACAAGACAATCGCTATCTAATAATAAAATGATGATCATCTCATATTGATATATTATTAATAATTTTTCTGTAGTTGAACAAGTTTCAACTTCATTTCGTGAATATTGATAACTTCCTTCCTATTCATTAATATCATTATAATCATGATGATTATTTTATCGTCACCGAGTAATTATGCTCATCAATTTTATCGATTACTATCCTTTCCCTGTCAGAACTTTTTTTTTGTTTCACTTTTTGTTTTCTAAGTGCATTGAACTTATTCTGAAAGTGGGCGAGGATTAAAAAGAAACTTTTTCCTCGTAATTAGAACCATTATCATATCGAAAGTTGACTCGAATCTAATGATTGTCGATTATCTTCATTGGGAAAGGATAAAATTTCTTACAATTTCACCCTCGAAATTAACTCAGAACTTTCTCTCTCTTCTTGTCATCTTCGAGCTCTCATCGTATTATTTTCAGCTCTATCATCATAGTTATCGTTGAATTATTGTTAACGATCAAGTTGAGATTATATTTTACAAGTTTATCAAATTCTGAAATATCGCATTTCATCATTCTCATGATATACACCAAGTGAGTTTTTGAGTTGCAACAAAAATTGCTCCTCAATCAATCAGAATGACTTATCACTCTTTTCACTCTGTGAACTGTTGATAATTCAGATTATATTGAACCGAATTCATGTTTACTTATTGCAATCAGTGGTTCGTTCATGTAATCAGATTCACCCCTATATATCACTATGATCTAATTCTTGAATTTTCAGCTTTCAATCCCTTTCGAATATCATTCAATGATTTTCACAGGTAACTCATCAATTATTGTTAATCGTAGATAAAAATAGTTACTTTCCTGATCCATGATGAAAGTCTGATAAAATGATTCAGAAAATCATAAGCTCCTTATCCTTGGTGAAAAACGAAAAAGTCCAAAAAGAATGGAAGAAGAAAAAAACAATTTAGAATCAATTCTTTCTCAAAGATTCTGGTTATCATCATTTTCTTCCAAGTTTTTCTTTTCCTTTTTTCACCAATTTCATCATCTGATTCTTTTCTTCCATGAGCATTACTAATGGTCCTCAAAATGTTCACCAAATAATTTATCAACCTTTCAGTTTCTCTGAGCCGTTCAGTTGATTCAGCTTATAGAAAATAATATAATCCATGAGAAAGAAGAAGAAAAAAAAAGGGGAAAAGTTGATTCTCATGAGTTGCAACTTGGAATACTCATCATTTGTGTTTCATATTGTATTCTATTATTATTTTCAATGTTCCCTGATTTTTATACTCTGAAATAACTCATGAAAGATTCTGGTAACTCCTTATATTGTTATCAGAAATCAGTTTCCACCCATGAGATGAAATTGGTTGAAGTTTACTGATGATTCAGAAGTCAGGGGAAATTGTGAACTGTTATTTGAATTGTGGAAGATGAATTTTCCTGAATCACCAAGAAAATATCTCATGTAGGAGTTTTGGATGATGAATTCAGTCATCAGAATATAAATTAACTTGGAAATTATTAAATTATCATGATGAAAGGTGAGAAACTGTAATTATCATGATGATAATATTATGATAAACGTTAAAGTTAATTTTCTGTGTTTAACTGTATGGAAACAATTTAATAATCATCGTATGTTTATATTGATTTGTAAGAGTTTTTATCGTTCAATGTTTATTAGAATAGTTCCAACTATTGATTAGAACCAATAAAAATAGAAGATTGCACTCAGACCTTACACTAAATCTGATTAAGTTCGTATCGTGGATAATCACTAAATAACGATGAACCAAAGTAGGACTTCTGGGGTCTCAGTAAATTAAACTTCACAACTTAACTAATTAGAATTAGTTAATTAATTAAACACTTAAATTTAAGGTTATCCTCAGCCTTAAACACTTAATTTATTAAGGTTATCCTCAGCCTTAAATAAATTAACACAAAATTGAAGAATTAAAGTTTACACTTTCACTTGTAACAACATTTAATTACTTAAAGAAAACACATTTTTCACCAGCTATTTATATCTACTTTTAGGAAAAGGAAATAAGGAAATGGAAGTAGTTACTGGAATAACTATATAACTGGACAACATTTTCGGGTTAATTTAGTCTCAGGGGATCTAATTAACTTAGATTTTAGGAATTTTAGAAAATTCCAATTGAAGAGGGAAAAGAAAAGAGAACAAAGGAAATGAAATGAAAACAATAAAGGGAAGAACAATTTGATGTTCTCTTGGGACCTTCTCATAATAACAATCTATTTTCGATTATCGATAGATTTGATTAATTCAATTAGAATTAAATGGAGAGTCAAATTTATCCTCACACTCCCGACTTTTGACCATGATACTCTTCATTTGATTCGATTTGAATTTCTCCTTGGGCTTATCCTTTATTGCGACTCTTAATTGTCTCTCTAATCTTTGGGAAGATTCTATGTTGGCTTCCAGTTTCGGTCTTATGCCAAAATGATAATAAACTTTCAACCATTGTCATATATCAG